TAAGTCTGTAGAGCATTATCCGACCAGCGTTGCTAGTCTAGCTCTGATGGGGATCCAGCAATGTTTACAATTTTTTGGATGTCAGCCTGAAATGCTTATTACCCCATATTCTGCTGCCCAAATAAAAGTTTTAATTGCCTCATTAGATGAATGGGCTATTTTAAAATGTAGTTTTGATGGAGATATTGATAACCACTATCCCAAGCATCCCATTTTGAGCTTTTTTAAGGAACATCCTGTTATTTTCCCAAAAGTTACCCGTAAAGTACCCATTGAGGGTGCAGTAACCATTTTTATGGATGGGTCTAAGACTGGGTGCGGCACGTATGTAATTGTAGAAGCTGCCCCAATTATTTGTCGGTTTATGCCAGGCTCGCCTCAAATAATGGAGTTTCAAATAGTGTTAGAGGTTTTTAGAAAAGTTTCTGAAGCCTTCGATTTAATTTCTGGTTTCAATTATGTTGTTAATTTGGTTAAAGATTTGGAGGTAGCTGGAAAAATACTACTAGCCCTATTCAGCCACATGTAACCCAGCTACAAGAGATCATTTGGAAACGTTTGCAACCCTTTTATATCCAACACATTAGAGCTCATACTGGATTGCCTGAACCAATTAGTGAGAAAAATGAATTAGTGGAAAAGTGTACCCGGATGCATTTTATATTTGCCTCCCTCCCAATTGATAGAGCTCAGCAATTTCATTCTCAATTTCATGTTAATTCAAAGACCTTGCAGCATCGCTTCGGGATATCCAGCGCAGCCACTCCTGATATAGTTAAGGCTTGTAAAAATTGTGTAGTGTATTTACAGCCACCTACTTGGGGGGTTAATCCCAAAGGATTGGCCCCTCTTAGAATATGGCAGATGGATGTTACTCATATCGCTGAATTTGGCACATTAAGGCATGTGCATGTCTCTGTGGATACATGCTCAGGAGTGATACATGCTACTCCTTTAAATGGAGAAAAGGCACAAAATGTAATTACAACTGCTTAGAAGCTTGGGCTACGTGGGGTATGCTGCAGCAATTAAAGACTGATAATGGACCAGCATATACTGCTGCATCTTTCTCTGCATTTTGCAAGCAAATGCAGATAGATTTGAGACATGGTCTTTCCTACAACCCACAAAGTCAAGGCATTGTTGAATGAGCTCACCGAACTTTGAAGGAATGCTTAATAAAACAAAAAGGGGGAATAGGCCAAGGTCGCAACCCCCAAAGAGAGAATATTTCTAGCTCTACTGACTCTTAATTTTTTTCAATTGGATGTGAATGGGCGCTCAGCTGCTGATTGCCATCACAGTGTCCTCCCCGTTGATAAGGGATTTGTAAAATGGAAAGATGTCATTTCTGGACTATGGAAGGGTCCTGACCCTGTGTTATCATGGGCGAGAGGGTCTGTTTGTGTTTACCCACAGGATCAGTCAGAACCTTTGTGGATTCCTGAAAGACTGACCAGGAGAGTTCCTGCCTCTGTAGATGGTGAGGTCCACAAGCAGATTGATGCACCTGATGCTGACGATCATGATGATGGTCCTGGTCGATGAGATGGAGGCAGATCCACGATGGGGGATCCTGTCAGTGTTTCCTAAACCCATGCCAATTAGGCATTATGCCCAAGTTTTTCCCAGATTTTTTTAGTAGCAATTTAAGTTTAAATTTACCCTTTTTGCCTTTAGATAAGGATATTAGTCCTGTAGAGGGAAATGTTAGTTTTGCGCTGGGAGGGATGCTTATCCTAGTCAGTCTCATTGCTTTATGGCGTATCTGCAGGATGAGAGTTACACAGCGGAGAAGTAATGCCACGATTGCACAAGCCTTCACAGTTCTGGAGGTAGGGCAATCACCTCAGGCTTGGTTAACTGTGCTTAAAAGCTAAGCAGTCATCACGCTCAGGATGCCAGACGAAGTACTGTACTTGAGGCCAGCTATTAGCGGCTTCATGGAGGGCAAGTCTGATTGCATATGGGTTGGTATCGTAATCCCATCTCTGAGAAAAGATACCGGACGGGTGTGGCACCAGCTTGGCTGATAACTGGGCGCGGGGCCATTACAATGTCCCTTGTTCATCAGAGATCAGACCTCTACCCTTGCCTGTTGCATTTTAAACAAAAAAGGGGGATCTGTGGGAAGCCACAGCCCCAAGGTGGAGCCTGGCTGGATGCCAGGTAGTAACTGGTTGTAAACAAGCCTTATTTGGAAGTGCTTGATGGATCTGGTGTGCTTCCTCCTTCTGTGGCCTATCCGGGATTGCCAGGTGGCATGAGCTGATTGGGCAGTGAGCACATATTTAAGGGCTTGCTGGGGCTGGGAGGAGCAGAAGAAGATTGTTCAAGGTTCCTGAATAAACTGCTTAAAGAAGAGTCTGAGCGTTGCGTCTTCCTTGCTGGTCGAGGTGGTCGTGACAATACATGCATGTGCTTGTGTGTAGAGTAGTGCCTGCGAAGGTCAGAAGAGGGTGTCCGATCCCTGGAGCTGGAGTTATATATGGTTGTGAGTCAAAGGTTGCTGGAAGCTGAGCTCCCGTCTTCTTCCAGAGCAGTACACACCCTTAACCACTGAGCTATTTCTGTAGTTCCTCAAGTGTCTTTATAAGTGTGTGTGTGTGTGTGTGTGTGTGTTCCTTCTCAGTTACAGTGTTTACAGAGTGTGATTTACTCAAGATTTTTATTCATTTTGTTTTGTTTTGTTTTTTCAAGACAGGGTTTCACTGCCTTGGCTGTCCTGGAACTAGCTTTGTAGACCAGGCTGGCTTAGAGCTCACAGAGGTCTACGTGTCTGTGCCTCCCAGGTACTGGGATTAAAGACTGTGTCATCACTGCCCAGCAATATATAAAGTATGCTTTCAACCCTAATCATCTGGTTTGTCTAGGTGACTTTCACTGGCCCATAGAATGAGAATGAATCTGATTCTCTAAATACAGGAGGCTACAAGGAGCTGCCATTCTTTATGACCTGGCTCCCAAATGGTAAGTGTGGAAAAAGACTGAACAGAATGACAGCGGTCCATAGCCAGACCCCTAGGGCACACACACATGAGAAACATTTGTTGTTGGAAGCTATTTGAATATTGTGTGTGGATCATTCTAGTGTATGTGAGATATGATAACTTTAGAAATACGTTTTTCTGAGAAGGTAAAACCCCTGAGCATCTGTGACTGGAGTGAAGTGGTATGTAGAAATATTTATGCACCTGGAAATACTTGATAGGTTTAATAATTATACTTTATTTGCGTATTCTCCGTCATACCCGGTTTCCTTTCCTGGCAGCACCTCAGTTACTAAGAAAGTTACTGAATAAAGAATGGCGTAGGAAGGGCAAGGCAGGTGTCTGTGGAAGGGCAGGTGTGGGGCAGCAATGGGCTGTCTGAGGGTGTGAAAATCCAAGCTGGGTGGTCGTGCAGCTCTGGCTTGAGAGCAGAACTGGAGTCCAAGTAGTGAGGGGATTGTCAGCAGGCTGGAGAGAAAGTGTCTGGGTCAGGAGAGTCCATGAGCAGCAGTCTGGTTGAAACATCAGAGCCTGAGAAGTGAGGAGGGCGGCTGTTCTATGGAATGAATGGTCCCTCTGTGCTCAAGGATGGTGAGGAAAGTATCAACTCATTAGACCACTTCCTGCGGGGAGTCAGAGCTCCAAACAGGTGAGCAGAGGGTCCTCGTGGAGTAACTGGACATTTGCAAGGGTGGGGAGGGTACCAGCACATAATGGGTTGGGATTTCAGAGGCACAGAAGGAACTTCCTTGCAGAGTGTAGTTCAGGCATGGGTAAAGAGTGTGTGTACAGTAGGTGTCAAGGTGGGCCCTATGATTCCTGCAGCAAGGTGTCTGTCCCTGAGGGGGAGCATCCAGCTGAAGGAGGAAGGCAGCAGTGCAGGGGACACAGGCTTGACCTGAGGGCTGGAGCCCATCCTGCAGGGCAGGTGTCTTAGTGGAGGTCGTGAGAGGGCGATGGGCAGCATCCAGGAGATTATCACTTGAGAGCCTGCGATAGAGATGATGAACACAGATGTTTTCAGCCACAGATGTAGGTTCAAAATGCTGAAATTGGGGAAACAAAATGAAGGATGTGGTGGCATTATGTTAGAATGGGGTTAATAGTGTGAACCCATGGTTGTTAGTGTGTTTGGATACAAACTGGAGAGAAAAACCTGGAGACACAAACACCGTGTGTGTGTGTGTGTGTGTGTGTGTGTGTGTGTGTGTGTGCGTGTGTGCGCGTGCGCACGTGCACATCCCGTTTGCTTGCTGTATGAACATGGAAGTAGCTAGAGAAGATTTCAAGAAGGGAAGTGTCTGGACGAGCCCAAGGGTGAGCATGTGAGTACGAGCTGGAAGACATCTGCACAAGGAATCCCACTTTTAGCAACCAGTTAAAGTTTCCCCTCACATATATTGTGATCTCTTAATTCTCCCAGCTGTTTCCAACAGTGCAGTGGACCCATGAAGCTCGTGCTGAGCAGTGCAGGGATCCAGGGAAGAGAGGCATGAGGAGAGGCACAGCCTGCGCCCATTGCTGCCAGCCAGAACTATTTCTGGATGTGGCCAGTAACACAGTGAGGGGAGAGTCCCTGTGCAGTGAGTTATGATCTGCTTAGGGAAGCAGAGAGCTCAGGGGAGCAGCTCCAGAAGCAACAGTGTGTGAGTGTTGCCTTCCCCTGCTGAAGGCAGCCGAGGGGGATGGGAGAGCCCACATGATGGTGAGGGGCTAATGGTTGTCTAGAATGTTGTGCCAGAACTTGCCTTTTAGTCAAAATGGATGCTGTCATGCCTTAAGTGTTTGCTCATGTTGTCTGTTTCATCTGAAACAACATTTGCATATAAAAGTGCATGAGTTTATGTTTGCCGCAGTGTCTTAAGACAGAGTTCCCTAATGGCATGGTTCCTCTTCCCTCCTTCCTGTGTCTTTCCTTCCCACTTTAAGTTCCATCTTTATAGTGTTTGCATATCGCATTGACTGGGCTTGAGCACTACAATCCTTTTTTCTTGTTTTAAGATTTTTTTTTTTTCATCTCTGTATATGGCCCTATTGACTCCGTGCTGTGGTATCTCGTTCTCATGTGGTAAATCTTAGAGGGAAGTCCTTCTTCTCTTATAAAGTTGTGTGATTGCCGCGTTTGGTTCCCACATACCACAAGTTTTAGGGAGGAGGCGAGGTGTGTTTTCTGAGGGAGGCAGGCCTTTTTTTGATATGGCTTCAGAAATCATGTATGCAGAAGTGAAGTTCAAGAATGAATCCAACTCCCCAGGCACCGACTCAAATTCTGCTGCAGGTAAAAAACAGTTCAGATTTAATGTAGTGGGAAGGATAAAGGAAGGGTCATTAATAAGCTTTGGGTGACGTTGGTTACTAATTCTCTGAGTGCTCATGTCTGGGATTTTACTGGAGTCACAGAGGATTGAATTGTTTGTAGAGTGACTTTAATAGCTGTAGAGTTGTCTGGTGGGAAGAAAAGCTTTCTATTTTTTGCTTTTTCCATTTACTGAAATTGTATCGTCTTCTATATAGCATTTCCTGCTACATAAAAATTAATGTAAAATGAAATCATACTTTTCAACATTGAGCTTTCCCTTCCATGCTTGACAGTATATTGTAACGTTGTGAAAACTGCTTCTGTGTTTGGAGCTTTTATCTCGAAGAAACTTTTTCTTTCATAGGAAAGATCAAAGCACAGCTTCTCCCTCAGTAGAGAGTTGCTCTGTCACTGAACTACACCTTCACCTAGCAAAGGGTTCCCAGCCCTGATTGAACTTACGCTAAAGAAGTTGAACATGATTAGAAATATTTATCTCTTACTGTATATGTATCTTTAGTGTTTTGACAGTCTGGGATTTATTTGAATACATAGTGCTGCAACCACATTACAGGACACCAAGAAAACATGCGATATGAAAATGTACTTACAATACTGTATCAGAGAAAAGTCATAGGCCAGACAGGAGTATTTATGTTGTTTTGCCATGTGGGAAAACATACTATATGTGCATCCTTTAAAATTTGCTTAAAAGGCCAGTGTGGTGTAATTCTAGCACTCTGGAGGCCTAGGCAGGAGGACCACAGAGGATTTGAGGCCAGCCTGGTCTACATAATAAGTTCCAGAACAGCCTGTTCTACGTAGTGAAATCCTAGCTCATTACACCTCCCACCACTACCAAAAACAAAACTAACAAACAAAAACAAAACTTGCTGAAAGATTTGATCAAAGTGTTTTTGTGAAAATATAATATATTCAAATTATTTTTTCAGATCTCAGAATGTTAATACCAGTCATTTCAATGGTGCATGTGCTCTTATGTATTTTATAATGTTTTTACAATGGACATTATTTTTCTGTCATTTTAAGTGTCCACACTGTTAGTAATTCTGTGATATGGAGGAGAAGGGAGGAAAGACAGGATGGAGGATGGGACATTGTACTCATGAAATACATGTGGCTGTCCTTCTAGCTCCCGAAGTGAAGCCCACCCCTCATCTAAGTAAGCCTGCTGGCCCCACGCTGCTTTTTACATCTTTGATGGCACTTTTCCTGCTGTTGGCTATCTCATTCTTAGTTGCTTTTATCTGTAAGTATCCCAAACGAACCACTAGGCAATGTTTGCCTTAGGGGGAGGGAGGTTCCACTGTAGCACTTGGCATTTAACAGAATATGAAGAAGAAATATTCTTTGAGAAAAAATAATTCAAGAGATTATGTTGTGACTTTTACTTTGTCCTTGGATTTAGCTATTGTCTTAGGAAAACAATGGAATCCATTCTCATTGGAAAAACTGAAGTGCATTTATGAGTGTATGTGGCATTGTGGAGTGAACTCTGTGAGGTGTTGTCTTTGTTAGAGTGGAAGGGCAAATCTATATTTTCTCATGGGATTGAGAAGTCAAGCTGGATGTGTATACAAGCTGTGTTTGTATACAAATTGTGTGTGTATACAAGCTGTATGTGTATATAAGCTGTATGTATATAGTATATACAGTCTTTGTGTGTGTATGCAAGGTGGATATGTTTGCAAGTTGCATATGTATATAAGCTGTGTGTGTATACAAATTGTGTGTATATACAAGCTGTATGTGTATATAAGCTGCATGTATATAGTATATACTATCTGTGTGTGTGTGTGTATACAAGCTGTGTGTGTATACAAACAGTATGTGTGTACAAGCTGTGTGCATATATAAGCTGTGTGTGTATAAAAGCAGTGTGTGTATACAAGCTGTGTGTGTATATAAGCTGTGCGAATATACAAACTGTGTGTGTATTCGAGCTGTATGTGTGTACTGGCAGGAGCCATGAGAGATACAGCAGGTGCTAACTAGTGTTTAATAGATTGACCCACAAGATGCATGATTCCTGATGGGGTCACCCTACTTGGCAAGGCTGTGGGGTTACTGGCTGTGGAAACAGGCTCTTGCCTGTAATTTCTTTCATGAGTCACTTCATTCTTCCCCAAGAACTTCCTTTCTTCCCCAAGAATAGCTTTGGGTCTTTCCCACTGCTTGTGTATTCACCTCATGAGAATATTCCATCCACTGGCACATGTATCTGTGGGTGGTCTAGAACATGACTTTCCATTTAACTATATAGTTTTGATATCTAGAATATATACTGGGACATGCTTCATAACCAGAACTATTTGTCCCACAAGGTCTGTGGACTCTGAACAGCCTGCCTTGTTCTCTTACTTAGATTAACTGCACACAATAGATCACTTTCACCTCAGAGCAAGTTCAAACTAGACTAAAAGGCCTTTTATAAATAGATCATAAGTTTAAACCCTTACAGCTATGTCAGAGCTGCAGATGTCCAACCAAGGTTACTAAGAAAAGCATGCCAATTCTTCACTTGCCTGTCTACTAACAATGGATCTGTGTCTCAAAATTGTCATTGGGCACTGTGCCCCTTCCTGTCTGGTCATAGATTTGCTCCCATGGCCTTGGACCCTTGCATTGCCATGGTAATCACTTGCTCTAGGAATGTGCTTTTGACCAATAAGAGGTCTGCTCCTTCTTCTCCCTGATCTCTCAGCATTTTCCTCTATATATGACTCCGGGTTTTTATTACTTAGACCAATTAAGAACTCCATTTATATTTTAGCACCCAATGTGGGGTACGAACCCTGAGATCTGAGATTGAGTCTCATGCCCTACTGACTGTGCTGTTCCTGCCCAGGCATCTCACTTCCTGTCTGTGTCCAGCCATCTTACTTCCTCCCCTCCACCCCCCAGCCATCTCCCTTCCTGTATGTCTATACAGACCTCCAGACCTGTATGGTTAGCTAGTGGCAAACTCCATTATCTGATCTTCAGGCAGGCTTTATTTGTACAAGCAAGATATCACCACATGGAAGCTAGAAGAAGAATAACGGAGAAGTTAGAAGTAGAACAGGGTTATCAGAGTAGAAAAAGAACAGTAAAGAACACATGAAATAAAGAGCATGACCCTCAGATTGTGTGCGAAATTACTATAGAAATCTTTTACCCCCTCCTTTGCTTCTGAGAAGCGTATCACCTTTGAAACCCTGGGCAGGGGCTGGAGTAGGTCTTATAGCACTTACAGTATACAAACAGTATATGTATATAAGCTGTGTGTGTATATAAGCTGTGTGTGTTTACAAGCTGTGTGTGTATACAGGCTGTGTGTGTATTCAGGCTGTGTGTGTTTATAAGCTGTGTGTGTGTGTGTGTATATATATATATAAGCTGTGTGTATACAAGCTGTGTGTGTATACAAACTGTATGTGTATAGAAGCTGTATGTGTATACAAGCTGTGTGTGAATAGGGCTTCTTCATCTTGGGATGAGCATGTGGACAAGGAGGAGCTAGTGTTCTTCAGCTAATTCCTAATTGCTTCTGTCTTGCCCAAGATTATGTGAAACCTAGAAGCCAACCGAGAAAGCAGGTGGATTTCTGTTCATCAAAGATTTGAGAATATCTGAAAAATTCAAAATGCATGCAAACTCGTATATTTAGAATGTTTGGTCAGTATCAAGTAGTGGCCATTTACTCTACATCGTGAGGTGAGTCTGACAGAGTCCAGGAAGTGCAGGGACTCCGCTCTCCAGAATCTTAGAGAAAAGCCACTGAGCCAGTGCCAGCCGGGTGCAGCGGCATACTCCTATTATCCCAGCTACCTAGGATGTTGAGATGGGGGACAGCAAGTGTGGAGATAGCCTGGACTGTGTGAAAACTCTGTGTCTAAAAAAATGAAGAAAAAATGGGCTAGTGTCTGCAACACTGTCCAGGAAGTTTTGTGGTGACAGATTTCCTAGAAGAGGTAACATCTAGAACTGTGTGTCAAGAATGTCAAAGAGGGGTGAGACAGAAGCACGAGCGGCTGAAGCTCACAGTGCTAAGTAAAGAAGAAATGACATTTCTCTAGGCAGACATAGCAGGGTACAGAGCCTATGTTGTGCCCCTTTATGAAAAACTTAGTTTTTACCCCTAAATAATGTTTTTATCAAGTATGTTTTCTGGTTAATAAATTAGCATAAACTTAATGAGGCAAGACAATGACTTATTAATCTTATGCTTTCATGGCATGGCAATTTAGGCCAGTCTGTATCGACTGGTTCCTCTGGTCCTAGCTGAACTTAGGCATTTGTATGTGGTCAGTTACGAGTCCAGGCACCTCAGCTTCCCAGAGGAGGAGGCCAGCTTTAGTGACTAACAGTACGGCCCGTCTTTATATGGTCCCTTAGGATGGCCTGGGCTTGTTTACATAGCAGATTTCAGACTTCCAAGATTGAAGGTGACCATGAGCCAGGTTTCTCAAAAAAAATTAACATGAGGACTGGAGAGATGGCTCAGAGGTTAAGAGCATTGTTATTCTTCCAGAGTTCAATTCCCAGCAACCACATGGTGACTCACAATTATCTGTAATGAGATCTGGTACCCTCTTCTGGCCTGTAGGCATATATACAGGCGCAATACTGTATATATAATAAATAAATCTTTAAAAACTTAACTTACTAGTAGATCAGAGTTGATTTTTCACATTCTCTTGGCCAAAAGAAGTCTCGGAGGCATCTCACACAGAAGACTTCATCTCTTTTCTTTTGTGTTGTTATCTGGGAAAATTTCAAAATCACATTGCAGTGGTGTGTGGATACAGAAGTTAAAAATTGTGGTCATTTTTTGCAAAGTGTCACAGCCATGGAGAACCATTGCAACATTTCAAATAGAGAATTGATGTAGCTAAATTTAGGTCATAGACAGTGCTTTGCAGGAATCTGAAAATAGAGTCATTAGGACAAAGAGAGAAATGAGAAGGCCAACTTATAACCTGATAATGAGATAAGTAAAAAACACAAGAGGAAAAGGTTTCAATGGTAAAGAGCGTAGGACCAAGGAAATAGATGCTTGATGAATACCGAGATCCAGGGATTAAGGGGTCCAAGAAGTACAGTGTGACCTTAACATTCTGATAATGTAAACTCAGCAACCATAAAGCTATTCAAAGAGGTAGACAATGTACGAGAAGTCATAGGTTTAAGTTGGTTGTGTTGATTTGAGATTTGGGCATATTGAGTCAAACCTAACATGTTTGTGTTTAGGGAGCACAAAATCCCACACATATAGGCAGCAGGCAAGGCTGTAGCAATACATGACATCACTCGGAAAGGTTTTGCTCGAGGAGGAAACATAATAACAAGACTGTAAGTGTGACATTTTAAAGGGGTGGTTGGAGGGAGAAGAGATTATATGAGTCAACGAGTCAAAGAAAAAAAGAAAGAAAAGAAAAGAAAAGGGAGGCAAAACCAGGACAGAGCAATGTCTTGATTGCTGATGAGTGAGTGCCCTGGGATATTACTGCTAATCCAAATTCGGTGTTAGTGAAAAGGAGGGAGAAAAAGTGGTGGGGTGAGGAGGGTAAAGACACAGGGAGGAAACTAAGAAGAAATTCAGTTCCAGACAGAAGCCAGTCAGCTTTAAACCTGGAGAGAGCGAGAACAATTGCCTGGAGGAGTAAGTTGTTCAAAATAAAGAGAGTTTAAGGAAGAAAACAATGCTCCAAAGATAATGTTGGGTTCTTTCGTATTTCACATTCCAAAATAAACCTAGAGACCCTCAGAATTAGCGAGCCCCCTTTCCTCACAAAGCCAAGGCAGTTTACATCCTTGAATATGAGTATCTATGCACGCTTCACCTCCCCCAAGAGTTAGCATTACATCTTACATTAAGCATTTGAAAGGCATGGCTCATTCCCTTTAGAGTCACGACAATGGGTCCATCTTGCTTTTTAAATTACTGGTCCTTCTATGAATCCTGGAGGTACCTGTGGTTTCAAAATAGGAAGACAAGGACAGTAGGGTGATGGGAATCCCAGTCAGGCTCTGTCTGCTTAGGTAATCAGGACTTAATAGATCTGTGTACCAGTAAGTAGAAAGCCATAATTCTTTCATGAAAATGAGTGGTTTTTTGGTTGTTTTTTTTTGTTTTGTTTTACAGTTTATTTTCAAAAGTACTCTCAACTTCTTGAAGAAAATAATGCTTTAAGAGGTCTAAATTACACAGAGTTGAGCTGCACAAAAGACCATTCACTCAAAAAAGGTAACAGTTAATGTGCCTAAGAATTTGGTTGCTAGCTATAGAATATAATGGTTGCACATAGATTTATTTCTTCCTTCCTCCCTCCCTCTTTCCCTCCCCCTCCCTCTTTTCTTCCCCCTCTCTCCCTCCCTGCTTCCCTCCCTCCCTCCTTCTTCTTCTCTCATACATTACATCAGAATTGCAGTTTTCCTTCCCTCCACTCTTCCCAGTTCTATTCCCCATCTCCCTTCTCCCCCAGATCCACTCCTCCATTCCCTCCCAAAAGGGGCAGGTCTCTCAGGGATATCAACTGACACATGGAATAACAGGTTACAGTAAGACTAGGCACAGACCCTCATATCAAGGCTGACCAAGCAACCCAGTAGGAGGAAAAGGTTCAGAGACATGCCCTCTCCCATTGTTAGGAATTCTACAAGAACACCAAGCTACACAACCAGAACATGTATGCAATATGGTATCCTCCACTTCTCTGGCTCCTACAATCCTTCCTCCCCCTCGTCTGTGGGGTTTGTTGAAGGTATTGCATCACGGGTGTGGGTCCACTCCAGTCCATTGAGAGAAAACTGAGACACTTTAAGAATAAATTTAGTGGTTGCAGCTGCAGGGGACTTCCAGGAACTGACACACATTTCCCTACGTCCGGGGCATTTTTACTTTTCTCTATATTTTGCACTTTAGCCAGTTGATTACCATATCTCAGAACAACTTGAATGAGGCTTCCAAAAAGACAATGGCATGTGCAAAGACTTGACTCATAGGCACCACAGTTTTCTGGGTTTCCTGAACCAAGTTTTTTTTCTCCTTGGGAAATTCCTAAACAAGTTTCACATGGGGGAGCAAAAAGTATTCCCCTTAATCCAAAGGATGGATTAAGCTAGGTACTAGCTCTCCAGAGCTAGGCCAGGTGCACTGAGCAGATGGTTAGTATAGCAGTGGCCAGCAGGATACAGGGTTCCCCAAGCTCAGTCTGATGTTTGGCTGTGTGTCTCTGCATCTGCTCCCATCAGTTGCTGGATGAAACCTCTCTGATGACAATTGGGCTAGCCACTGATCTATGAGTATAGCAGAGTATCATTAGGAATACTTTTATTGACTCTTGTGTTTGTTTTTATTGTTTTTCTGTTTGATTCTACTCTAAGTCTCTGAGCCAGTCAGCTTCAGGTTCTTGGCTGTGTCTTGGGCCTCAAGCTGGACCAGTCTTACAAGTTTTGTGCCACCTTTACCCCAGCACATCTTGCAGACAGGATAAATTGTAGATTGAAGGTTTTGAGGTTGGGTTGGAGTCCCAGTCTTACCGCTATAAGTCTTAGCCTGGTTACAGAAGACAGCTGGTTCTGGCTGCATATCAACCATTTCTAGAAGTCTTTGCTAGGATCACCCTCATAGATTACAGGGAGTCTCCAGTGCAGTACAGGTAGGTTTCCATACCACCCCACCCCATTCCAGTCACCACTCTCAGTGATCCCTTCCACCACCTCCACACATTGATCCCTCCTGTTCCCATATCCATCCACCCACCCCAAAATCTATTCTATTTCCCCTTCCCAGAGAGAGCCCCCTGACAGGTAGCCTCTCTGGGTCTATGGATTGATTGTAGCATGATTATCCTTGAATCAACAGCTAATATCCACTTATAGGTGAGTACATGCCATGTTTGTCTTTTCTGGATCTGGGTTATCTCACTCAGGATGCTTTTTTCTAGTTCCATTCATTTGCCTGAAAATTTCACAATGTCATTAAAAAAAAAAAAAAAAACTGCTGAGTAATACCCACTGTGTAAATGTACCACACTTTATCGGTTTTTCTGAGAAACATCTAGGTTGTTTCTAGTTTCTGATTATTATGAATAAAACTGCATGGGCATAGTTTAGCAAGTGTCTTTGTGGTAGGATGGAGTGTCTTTTGCCCAAGAGTTGTATAGTTGAGTCTTGAGGTAGGTTGATTCCTAACTTTCTGAGGAACCACCAGGTTGATTTCTATAGTGTCTGTACAAGTTTGCACTCACACCAGCACTGAAGGAGTGTACATCCTCAACAGCTGTCACTTGCGTTTTTGATTTCAGCCATTCTGACAGGTCTAAGATGGAATCCCAAAGTAGTTTTTATTTGCATTTCCCTTTATGGCTAAGGGACTTTTCACTCACACACACACACACACACACACACACACACACACACATTTTTATTTTACATATTGATCCCAGTTCCCTCTCCCTCCCTCCCATACCCCCCACCCCTCCCATCCCATTCCTCCCCCCCACTCCACAGGGAGGGTGATGCCTTCAAGGAGGGTGTTTTAATTATTATGTGGCGAGGGAACTTTTTTTTTTTTGGTCCAGTCTATTTGGTGTTCCGTATGCTTCTTGTACTTTCATAGGCATGTCCTTCTTCAGATTGGGAAAGTTTTCTTCAATGATTTTTTTTTGAATATGTTTTCTGCACCTTTGTTCTGGGCTTCTTCGCCTTCTTCTATGCCTGTTATTCTTAGGTTTGGCCTTTTGACGTTGTCTCACATTTCCTGGATGCTTTGTGTTAAGGATTTGTTAGATTTAATTATTCTTCTCCTTCTTCTATGCCTATTATTCTTATGTTTTTGGTTGTGAGCCTAGCCTTTAGCGGCTGAGCCATCTCTCCAGCCCATATGTCTATTATTCTTAGGTTTGGCCTTTTCACTGTGTCCCACATTTCCTGGATGTTTTCTGTTAAGGATTTGTTAGATTTAAGATTTTTCTTTGGTCGATAAATCTATTTCCTTTAGTTTATCTTCAGAGCCTGAGATTCTTTTTTCAATCTCTTGTATTCTATTGGTTATGTTTGCATCTGTAGTTCCTGATTAATGTGGTTTAATAAGGATTAGGAAAAACAAATAGGCTAAATAGATGTTTATTCAGGGAGAAATAACTTACAACAGAGACAGATGAACACCAGCAGGTCCCTGGTCCCAAGGATGCCTCCAGATGCTCTTCTGTCCCCGTGCTGCAAGCAAGAGAGCTCCAAGGCCCCTTCCCCAGACCCAGTTCCCCCAGGTAACATCTGCCCCTATGTCCACCCCCAATGGGTGTGGTCAGTGCCACAGGAGTGGACAAAGTGAATATCTCACTACACCTGACTTTTTACCCAGTTTTTCTATTTCTAGCAATCCCTCAGTTTGTGTTTTCTTTATTGTCTCTATTTCAGTTTTCAGGTCTTGAACTGTTTGAATTGTTTCCTTTATCTGTTTGATTGTTTTTTCTTGGCTTTCCTTACTTTCTTTAAGAGATTTGTTCATTTCTTGCATTTTTTGTTTGGTCTTTAAGGAACATTTCTTTAACTGTTTCTTAGCCATTTGAGATTCCTCTATTGAGAATTCTCTGTTTAGCTCTATATCTCATTTTTTCTTTTTTTTATTTATAATATTTTTATTTAATTTTATATAACAAAGTCCAATTAAATGAAAACAAACATTTATACACAATATTTGGGAATTGGGGCGTCGTTCTTTCCAAACTACTTCCTGCCGGTAAGGGGCGCTATCTTGGGGGATTCAAAGAAGATTCAGATATCCTGGCTGTAGTCTGTAGGGCTGTTTTGTCCAGCTGTTTGGAATGTAGGATCAGCTTGTACTCTGTTTCAGGCAGTCTGGCGTGATCAAACCACATTAGTCTGGAAGGAAGCCACATCTATTCATTTTCTGTGGAAACAAAAATAGAAATCCTTTTCCCCAGTAACTTGTTCTTCAACTTAAATTTTGGAGTCAAAGCATTTTTTTTTTTAATTTATTATTTTACATGTCGATCCCAGTTTCCTCTCCCTCCCTCCCCTCCAACCCTCCCTTCCTCCTTCCCTCCCTTTTACCCTCTCTGCCCTCTCACATGCACTCTAAACACCCTCCCCTCCCATCCCCCCACCACAATTCCATATGTAGGGGAATGCCATCCAGTTGGGGTCATGTAGATGTGACAGGTCCTGTGAAGTAGGGACTAGGGCTTCTCTCCTGTCTCTAGAATAAGGCAGTTATCCCTCCATGGGGGATATGTTTGCAAAGTCCTTTTGTGCACCAGGGATACATCCTGGCTCCACTGTCTGAGGTCTCTTAGACTGCTCAGACCTTCTGGCTGAGACCCATATTCAGGGGGGCCCGAGTCAGTCCCCTGCTGGCTTCCCAGCTATCAGTCTAGTGGCCCTTAGCTCTATGTACTTCTCCACATGGTCTTGTCCTCTCCATCTGCTTCTGGGTTCTAGTTCGACTCAGTGTTTATGTATGGGTGTTTGCTCCTATTTTCAACAGGCATTAGTTGAGGGCTCCATAGAGAAGTTAGTTGTTGATCTCACTCTCCGGGAAGGGCATTTATGGTAGCCTTTCCATGGAAGCTGAGATTGTTAGTTGGGAGCAGTCTTGTAGTTCTCTCGACCTTTCTTTGTGTTCAACTTTATCTTCAAACCAATATTGGCTCCCTCTTTTATGTTCTCTCTCTGTCTCTGTCTCTCTCTCTCTCTCTCTCTCTCTCTCTCTCTCCTGTCTTCCATTCCTAACCAGGCTCAATCCTCCTGGTCGCACATGCCTTCCTCTCCTCCCCCTCATTTTCTCCTACTTCTCTCTCCATTCGCTGTCCTCCCCCACTTCACCTGAGCTCTGGGGGACTTGTCCCTTCCCAGTTCTGTGAGGGACTTTATATGAATCTCTTAAAATACACCTTGTATCCTATTCCTCTGGTGATGTGAATTATAGGCTGGTGATCATTTGATCTAGTTCTAAAATCCATATATGAGTGAGTACATACTGTGTTTCTCTTTTTGTGAGTGGGTTACCTCATTCAGGATGGTTTCTTCAAGTGCCATCTACTTGTCTGCGAATTTCAAGATACCATTATTTTTTTCTGCAGAGTAGTATTCCATTATGTAGATGTGCCACATCTTCATTAACCATTCTTCAATTGAGGGGCATCTAGGTTGCTTCCAGGTTCTTGCTATTACAAATAGTGCTGCTATGAACATAGTTGAACAGATGTCTTTGTTGCATGG